TCATCAACAAAGCAAGGGAGTGGGCTGGGCTGAGGGACTTGGTGCCAGACAAGCCGGGACATGTATGCTTTGCCGAGGGGCAAATCAGTATGTGGAAAGAACTGGCCTTCCAGGCCACCAAAGAATTTATAAATGCCGGGGTCATGTGCGAGGCCATTGCATTACCTAATCCTAGTTCCAAAGCAAGGGAGTGGGCTGGGCTGAGGGACTTGGTGCCAGACAAGCCAGGACATGTATGCTTTGCTGAGGGGCAAATCAGTATGTGGAAAGAACACAAGTAGATGTAACTGTCCCTATAATACCATAAAAGTACAACATGGACAATTGTCCTCTGGGTCATAGGACTACCCAAATGGGCCCAATAGTCATACAGGCAATGGCAACATATGTGGGACCAATGCGGATGGAGGCAATGGCAACATATGTGGGACCAACATGTATCAGTCATTATGGTGCCAAAGGGAGGCCCAAGGTAATCTCAAGTTAGACTTAATAGCGGGTATAGAGACCATAGACAACAGTAGTCCAAAGTTGGGCTTAATACAAGTATACTTAGCGGCATACCCGAGACATGAAACCCCCGAAAAGTCCGCACAACTAAATAGTCTGAACTAAACGAACCAAGCAAAGCAAAACCTGACTGACATTGAAATTTTTATACAAAGTAGTCTACAGGGAATCATCCATATCCTCGGTGAGATCCACAACCGCATTTCCCAGATCTGGACCTTCATCCATCTTGTCCATGGGATGATTTTCCCCCGAAGCATCGTCCCTCTTTTCTACGGAATGATTCTCCCCCGAAGAATTCCCCCGAAGCTCCATCGCCGCTCTCCTCATCGCAATGATAACCTCCAACTGCTGGAGTTGATCTTCTGCATGGGCACGAGACTCAAGCAGGACATTGAGTGACCTCCGAGTTTCTTCATACTCTCGGTACAAAACCTTGTATGCAATGCAGGCATATTCCAGCGGATGAGTGACCTTCGGAAGTTCCGGAACGACCGCATCGTAGAAAGTCCTCTGAAGATAACTTGGAGGTGCCGTCTTTGAAGGCAGGGGGGGGGTCATCTGGCTTCCCATCTGCAGTTGAAAGAGGAGGGGGATTTGATGAACCCGCTGTCCCACGCTATAATTGAAACATTAACAGCTCGGACATAATATCCAAAGAAAGTGCCCACCTCCGTATCATCCGCTTGGATTCCATCGTACTTTTTTATGATGTTTCTAATGCCTGAGACGTCAGTCAAGAAATCGAACTGATGAGGGGATCATATACCATGTGTTGCCTCAAAGTACTGCAATGTACGCTCCAGGGGGAGAGGCACAGGAGGAGCCCAGACTAAACACAAACATCTGGATCAATGCGAAGCTCTGAAATAATGAATGGTACTAACTCGATGGTTCAACAGATGCCATTCTGGTAGACGAGAGCAAAGATTAGGGAACTTAGTGAACACAATGTAGCAACTGTGACAATGTTACATCATGACGCCGCAAATCCCCGAATGTGGCCATGGTTGAAATTCCCGAATGGGTAATGACGGCATAACGGACATTTCACTTCAACTACCATCTCGTTTCCCTCTCAAACCACCATCTCTTTCCGCGTTGCCATCCAACAGTCGACTCATCATGACTTCCATCTACGCTGTACCTGAAGAACATCTCCAAGGCGTGCTGCCCACCCTGGCAACTGCAAAAAACATTGTCCCACGGATTGTTGCGCTGGTCAAGGCGTGTCGGGAATGGTATGGGAAGCAGTTTTCCACGGCAGATGACGAGGAAAAGAGGAACAGGGAGCTTGGGTTGCGAAGGGTCATGGTAAGTGGCTTGTAAACATTCAACTGCCGTCAGACTGATGATGACCGTTCAGATCACCTACCTACGTGCGATACACGTCATTGGAGAGTGTGAGGACATTGAACTTCCTCCGTTGATGGACCGCATTTGCGAGGAAGTCTTAGGGAGCAAATCCAGGGAGTTCAATTGGCAGGTTTTGGAAGACCCCTCCCCAGAGCCAGCGGATGAATTCGAGGAGCTAGACGTCCTCATGAGCGAGTGGCTTTCGGCAGAGCCATCTGATCCCAAGGGGAAAGGAAAGGCTAAGGAGACTTCCGAGATTGCAAAGCCTGGGGGTGGTTCGGAGACTGGGAAGCCAAAAGGCAAGGGTCATGGGCAAAAGCATAAGGCGGACGTTTCGGTGGAAGAGGGCAAGGACGTGGTGCAGGGGAAGAAGGTGAAGATTCAGGCTGGAGGGAGCGAAGCGGGACCAGCTCTGCCTCACGACGACAACGACGATGATGAGGCGGACTATGGGGTCGGTCCTGGACCGCAACTGGTCCGGGACCGACCCAGATATTGAGGGAACCGAACCGAACCACCTAGGACCGGTCTTTTGCGGTCCATGATACCAGTTCAGACCGATCCAGACCGGTTTTTTGCGTATAATTTATTATACCAATATAAACCATTTGTATCTCAACCATTATTACTCTGCAAAATAAACGGGTTATATAAAATGGTAAAGCATATAAATACCCGTCATTCTACCAATTTTCAAGAGATTTAATGAAGATTTGACATAGCTATGACTGAAACTGAATTACATCTCATAGAGACTTGGGTAAAATATGGATTTGGTTATATCTTTCTCAATTCTTAACCGTTTTTGATGAAACAAAAACCCAATAAAAGGCAATAAACGTGGTTACAAGGCTATGTAACGCACGTGACCGTTTAACCGGTCTTTGAACGGTTTTAAAAGATTTTCGAAATGAGGCAACCGGCAACCGGACCAACCCCAAATTGGAGCAACTGCAACCGAAAAAAAGACCGGACCATGGTCCAGTTCAGTTCGGTCCACCGGTTTTTTGTGGTCCTATGGACTGAACCTTTAAACACTAGAAAGACGTGGTGATAGCAGCGGAGAATGGCGGGAGTTCCGATGACTCAGTGGCGGTGGTGGAGAATGACTTCACCATTACTCCTGACTTCGTTCCATCGATCAACGATGGCCTGTACCATTTCCCCACGAGCGATGGATCACCTGTGGAACGTTTCAGAAAGGACCTCTCATAACATATTTCACCCATGTTATATCGTCATTATGTTACTTAGAACTTTCTTGGGAGTCAAATTCAATCTTGTGAGCATTCTTCATGAGAATTGCCTCTGGGAATCCAGAGGCAATTCAAACGTATGACCAGGAACTGGTCATACATTGAAAGGTGAGATGGGCAGCAGAATTGCAAGGTAAAAATATAAACATTGTTCTATGCGAGAATATTGGTAAAGCCTACGGCACTTGCTCCAGAGGTCCGGGACTTCCGCAATTTACCTTCGGGACTTCCGAAGTTTAGCTTTGGATCTAGTGACAGCCATTGAAGGTCCCGCAATGTTGACTGGATCGGCAGTCCTGGTGGATCTTCCTACGGGCCTAGGTTTGGATTTCGGAGAGGGCTCATTTGCCTTAACCTTTTTGCTGGATCGAGGTTCGGGCCTATCAATGGCTTTGGATTCTTTGTCATCCAACTCCCTCAGTCGTTTCTGGCCCTGTCCCTTATTTTCCACGTTAACATCATTCTGTTTACCGTTGTTCCCATCCATTTTACGACCTTTCGCACCTCTAGTAATGGCCGGGACTTTGTTGATAGGTGGGGCTTCTGTCGCATTCAGAACATTTGGGACCTCAGGCATGTGCGGGACTTCCTTCGCATTCAGTAGTTTAGCTGCAGGCGGCACTTCTGCCATGCGCGGGACTTCTGCCATCAAGCTGATGTTCGCGTTCGGTACTTTAGCTGTGCATGGGACCTCCGCCATGCGCAGGACTTCTGGAGTCCCGTGTGGTAGTGTAGCTTTGTGCGGGACTTCAGTCATCGACGAAACCTCCGAAGTGACAGTGGGGGCAGCTAGCGGCTGTAGTGTTTGAAAGTTAGGTTAGTTAACTGGAAAATAACCGGAAAATAACCGGACCTAACCGCAACACTAACCTAACCACAGTTAGGGTTAGTTGATTTCGAAAATGGAATAACCGGTTATAACCAGCCCTATTATACACCTTCAAATCGCACTTGAGAACGTTGAAAACGCTTAAAATTTGACTAAGTTACGGTCAAATCTCTAAAATATCACTCAAATGTGTAGACTTTCAAGGATAATTGCATAAATATGTCAATTCTTCACCGATTTTAGCGTTCTTGGGCTCGTTTTAAAGCTAGAATATGCAGACATAATATCTATCAAGATACATATGAGCATATTTGCCTTGTTATAACCGATTCTTTATTTTTCGGTCCTAACCGGTTAGTAACTGCAAATAACCGACCGTAACTGGTTAGTTGCGGTCCGGTTAGGTTATTTTAGGTTTCGGGACAAAGGCTAACCGGTCTCGGTCTCGGTTAGAGCCCCTGGGCACCCAATAACCGGACCTAACCGGACTTTCAAAGACTAAGCGGCTGCTGATGATCAACTTGTCGGGAGGAATGGTAGTTGGTTGACCAGATTTTGAAAACCTGAAACTGTTTCATGGCTTGTTCATGAGACCATTCTGAGCATGAATCAGGTAGATTCTTGATGAAGTCATTCCAGAGATTGATGTCGGGGGTGGGTAATCCTTCCGGAGTGTTTGTCCAAAGTGGGGCTTTGCCTTCAGATGTCCCGTGTGAAAGATCTTCTTTTTTCTTTGCAGTGAGGTCGTCATCTGAGAGGTCGGCATCTTCAACGGCTTGAAAATCGAATTCTTCACCTGAGTCACTGATAATGTCCCGTGATTGAACTGCGGCCTTTTTCATGTGTCAACCCCCCTTTTTTGGTCTGATTTCTGTCAGTCGATCCAATACCGAAGAAGCTTCTTCACTTTGGGCATTGACAGGTGCGATGGCTCCGAATCCAGGGTATCATAGTCAGGAAGATATTCCGGATCTATAAATTCCGGAACATTCTTCAGGATATCAGTCCATGGGACCCGCGCGCATCTTCTGTCTGTTGCTAATGCTACTTCCACTTTAGTTTCACATATCCGGCATATCTAATAGAAGCTTACAATAATGAAAACCCAAGAATGAACGAACTAGCTTCTTCAGCCAACTAATCTTTGCATGAGAAGCTAGGTCCCTTGGCCAGTCGTTTTCCTGAGGTAATATGGGCTCCCGGATATCATTGGTTGGTAGATCCATGAGAGCACCACGGGTGCCCACGATATGCACTTCGCTGGAGGGATTCTCGAGGTCTTTACCTTCCCCGGTATAATCCATATGGAATCCATGTGGAATCCATGGAATCCATGAAGAATTCCATATGGAATCCATGGAATCAATGTTGGCTGAGGACACAGCCAGTTTCTGATTCCCTGGACATCATGGATTCCATATGGAATGATGCTGGAATGGTCATGGAATGATTAATTCCATATGGACTCCAACACCATTCCATATGGATTCCATCAGATTCCATATGGAATGCAGGCATATCCACATGTATTCCATGGAGCAGTCCATATGGATTCCATGGAAGGAATTAATGACTATTATACCATTAGAATACAGTGTCCTTACTATATTTAAGTAAAGTAATTTTTTTACATCACAAGGAATTGAACTCTCGACCTCATGAATGTAAGCAGCACTCAAGCCGACTGAGCCATGAAGGCATTATTATTTGAGAAACTAAAGGTATGTATATACCGCTTTTAGGCACGTGCCGCGTCAAACGTGACAGTTGTGGCTGAAGCGTTGCCACGTCGTTCCTTCCTTCCTACCACCACCATCACCAACCACCACCACCGTTTCAAACCACGACCGCCCGCGACATCGACAACGACAACGACGACGACGCTGACGCTGACGACGCGTGACGAGGGCCCAGCCCAGGTAAGTGGGAACAACCACCCCACCCACTCTCCTTTTTAACACAAACCACAGGTGCCACGTCGCGACGTGGCAACCAGACGGCGAACGACGACATCGGTCGTCCACCGACGAAAACGAGCGCCCACCAACGTTAACGACCCCACACCAACGACGACCAGCGCCCGACGTCCCCGCCCACGAAAACGATGTCCACCGCCCATGAACGACGCTCACCGCCAACAATGTCAACCGCCCATGAACAACAGCCACCACCAACGACGTCCAACGCCCACCGCCCACCAACGACGTCCAACGCCCACGAAGACGACGTCCGCCGCCCACCGCCCACGAAAAACGTCCCCCGCCCACGAAACAACGTCTGCCGCCCACGAAAAACGGACACCACCCACGACAATAACGTCCACCGCCCACGCAAAACGTCCACCGCCCACACGAA